CCTTTCTCTCCTCTCCTCCTCTCCCTTCCCCCAATCCCCTTTCCCTTCTTCCCTTCCTCTCCTTCTCCTCCTCTCCCTTTCCCCAATCCCTTTTCCCTTCTCCTCTTTCTCTCCTCTCCTCCTCTCCCTATCCCCAAACCTCTTCCCCTATTCCTCATATCCCCCTCCTACCCTATCCCTCCCTTCCCCCATCCCTCTCTCTCCTTTCTCCCCCTCTCTCTCCCCTTCCCCCATCCCTCTCTCTCCTTTCTCCCCCTCTCTCTCCCCTTCCCCTATCCCTCTCTCTCCTTTCTCCCTCTCTCTCCCCCCCTTCCCTTCTCCGTGTGTTGCAAGTGTCCCCCGGCCTCTGTTTGTGCAAGGGACGTAAGGGACCGTTCAAGTGGTTTAATTACAGAATACGGAACTAATATGCAAGCGCACTGTCTGTGGCATTGCAGAGCAGTGTGTATTTCCCTCTAATTGTAGACCGGGATGTTCTACTGATGTGGTGGTTTGCCGTAGAGTGTGAAGCTAGTGTGATGCTGATAGGTTATGCTGATATGGGTGTTTTTTGTGTGTCTTGTAGTTTTAGATTTTAATGTTTTTGGAGTTGTTGAGTTTATGGAATGATTGGTGAATGGTTTATTGAGGAATTCGGAAAGATGGATGGTGTGGATGTATTTTAGACGAATGGATGAATGCGAGGTGGGTAGAGACTGTGGGAGTAAATACAAGGCCACCACATTTACGGACGAGTAAATCTCTCTCTCCTCCGTTTCTCTCCTCAACCTTTCAACTCTCGTCTCCCTTCTCCTCCTTCTCTTCCCCCCTCCTCTTCTTCCTTCCTTCTCCTCCTTCTCCTCTTCCTCCTCCTCCTTCTCTCTCTCCCCACCCCTTCTTCCCTCTTCACTTACCTTCCATTTCATACTCCTCCCCCTTCCTTCCATCCTCACTACCCCCTCCTCCTTCCCCTCCCTCCCTTCCCTCCTTCTTTCTTATGCCCCTCCCCCCTTCCTCTCCCTCCTTCCTCTCCCTCCTTCTTATCCCCCTCCCTCCTTCCCCTCCCTCCCTTCCCTCCTTCTTTCTTATGCCCCTCCCCCCTTCCTCTCCCTCCTTCCTCTCCCTCCTTCTTATCCCCCTCCCTCCTTCCCCTCCCTCCCTTCCCTCCTTCTTTCTTATGCCCCTCCCTCCTTATCATGCCCCTCCCTCCTTCCCCTCCCTCCTTCTTATCCCCCTCCCCCCTTCCTCCCCCTCCTTCCCCTCCCTCTTTCTTATGCCCCTCCCTCCTCCCCCTCCCTCCTTCTTATCCCCCTCCCCCCTTCCTCCCCCTCCTTCCCCTCCCTCTTTCTTATGCCCCTCCCTCCTTCCCCTCCCTCCTTCCCCTCCCTCCTTCCCCTCCCTCCTTCCCCTCCCTCCTTCCCCTCCTCCTTCCCCTCCCTCCTTCCCCTCCCTCCTTCTTATCCCCCTCCCCCCTCCCTCTCCCCCCTCCCCCCCCCCCCCCTTCCCTTCACGTCCTCATCATTCCTCGTTACAATTAATAGGCTCGTCCATCCTGACCTTTCCCTGACCTGCCGGAGGAGGACAATACGGGACATCATTAGAGGTCTTCTGCTCTTCTTCCTCCCTCCTTCCTCCCTTCTTCTTCCTTTTTTCCTCCTTCTTTCCTCCCTTCTTCCTCTCTTCTTATTCCTTCTTTCCTCCCTTCTTTCCTCCTTCTTTCCTCCTTCTTTCCTCCCTCCTTCCTCCCTCCTTCCTCCTTCTTTCCTCCCTCCTTCCTCCCTTTTTCTTCCTTTTTTCCTCCCTCCTTCTTCCCTTCTTCCCTTCTTCCTCTTTTCTTCCTCTTTCTTTCCTCCCTTCTTCTTCCTTCTTTCCTCCTCTTTTCCTCCTTCTTTCCTCCTCCTTTCCTCCATCTTTCCTCCCTCCTTTCCTCCCTTCTTCCTCCTCTTTTCCTCCCTTCTTCCTCCTCTTTTCCTCCCTTCTTCCTCCCTCCTTCCTCCCTCCTTCCTCCCTTCTTCCTCCCTCTTTCCTCCCTCCTTCCTCCCTTCTTTCCTCCCTCCTTCCTCCTTCTTTCCTCCCTTCCTTCCTCCCGTCTTCCTCCATTCCCTTATCCTACCATCTGTCTCTGATCTTTCTTCCTTCCGTTTTGCGTTTCTTTTTTCTTTTTTTCTATTTTTTTTGTTTCATGATTTTCTCAAGACAGAATGATAAATAGAAAGTGTAAATAACGGATTGGAAGGAAAAGTAAGAAATAAATGTGAATGAGAGGAATGGAAGAGAAGAGAAGGGAAACAAGGAAAGAAAGGGAAGCAAAAGGAGGAATAGAGAAAAGACGTAGAAGGAAAGGCTAAGAAGTAAAAAGGATAAGGGTAAGGAGGATAGGATAAAGGTAAGGAGGATAAACGGAAAGAGAAAGAGAAGAGGAGAGTCGGAGGAGAAACAAAGAGAGAGAGAGAGAAAGAAAGAAAGGAGAGAAGCGTAGAAGGAAAAACAAAAAGAGAAAGAGAAAGGAGAAGAGTAGGAGGAGAAATAAAAGCGCGAAGGATGAAAGGACTAGGAAGGGAAATTAGAATAAAAAAACGAAAAATAAGGTTTAAAAAAAGCAGCAAAAACAAGAAAAAAACTTGAAAGGGAAGGAGTGCCATAAAACAAGAAAATAAAAGAAAAGGAGAGATAATAGAGAGATGAGAGAGAGAGAGAGAGAGAGAGAGAGAGAGAGAGAGAGAGAGAGAGAGAGAGAGAGAGAGAGAGAGAGAGAGAGAGAGAGAGAGAGAAGAGAGAGAGAGAGAGAGAGAGAGAGAGAGAGAGAGAGAGAGAGAGAGAGAGAGAGAGAGAGAGAGAGAGAGAGACGAGCAACGGAAGCTCCTCTAAGTGACCATTCAAGGATGCCGGAAGAGGGAAATGACCCTGTGCCTTTCGTGCGTTCCTCATTTCTCCTCACGACGGGAAACATGAGGAGAGATGAGTAAGCCTCCGCTGATGACGTATAGAAGGGCCTCATCATACTCACCGAGAGAACGGCGGGAAATGGCGAAGGTGAAGTGCGCTGTCTTTCCTTATGGTTCTTTTTTTGAGGTCCTTTTTCTCTGTCTGTTTGTTTGTATGTCTTTCTTTTTCTCTCTCTTTCTCTCTCTTTCTCTTTCTTTTTTCTCTGTCTCTGTCTTTCTTTCTCTCTCTCTCTCTCTCTCTTTCTTTCTCTCTCTCTTATTCTCTCTTATTCTCTCTTATTCTCTCTTTCTCTCTCTTTCTGTTTTCTAACCTTAATTATCGTCTTTTTTTTGCCTATCCTAAAATTCTGTAGTTAACCCTCCCCAACCCCCCTCTTCCTTTCCCCTTCCCTATGGCGCTTCCTTAATCATGCCCCTTATCCCCTCCCCCCCCCCTCCCTCACACTAACTCGTTCGTGATGGTTAGATGACGAGAGAAGTAAGTCCCCTTACCTCCCCTCCCTTCCCTTCCCCCCCCCTCTTCATCTCTCCTCTCTTCCCCTCCTCTCCCTTGCCCTTCCTCTACCTTCCCCTCTCTTTATCTCCATCTTGGCCTTCCTCTCCCTTCCCCTCCCTTCCCTCCTCCTCTCCTCGTCTCTCCTCCTCTTCCTTTCTTTCCCTCCCCTCCCTTCCCCCTCCCCTTCCTTCACCTTCTCTTCCTTCCCTATCTCTCCCATTCCCTTCACCTCCCTTCCTCTTCCTTTCCTTCCTCTCCTCTTTCCTTCACCTCCCTCCCCCTCCCTTCTCCTCCTCTCCCCTCCCCTTCCCTTCCTACTCTTCCCCCTCCCCTCCTCTCCCCTCTCCTCTCCTCTCCTTTTCCTCTTCCCTTCCTCTCCTCACCCCTCCCCTCCTCTCCTCTCCTCTCCCCTCCCTTCCCCTCCCTTCTCCTACTTTCCCTTCCCCTCCCTTCCCCTTCCTCTCCCCTCCCTTCCCCTCCTCTCCCCTCTCCTCTCCTCTCCTTTCCTTTTCCTCTTCCCTTCCTCTCCTCACCCCTCCCCTCCTCTCCTCTCCTCTCCCCTCCCTTCCCCTCCCTTCTCCTACTTTCCCTTCCCCTCCCTTCCCCTCCCTTCCCCTCCCTTCCCCTTCCTCTCCCCTCCCTTCCCCTCCTCTCCCCTCCCTTCCCCTCCTCTCCCCTCTTCCGTCCCCCGGTGATGGGAATAAACATAATGACGTAAACAGAAGACGCGGGGGTTCTCACGCATGCGCCGAGTGCGTGGTTCTCCTGGTAATCTTTGTTGAGGTTTTTATGGCGTTCCTATTCTTCTGAGTGTGTCATTATCAAACGTATATTCGTATTATCTCTCTCTCTTTCTCTTTCTCTTTCTCTCTCTCTCTCTCTCTCTCTCTCTCTCTCTCTCTCTCTCTCTCTCTCTCTCTCTCTCTCTCTCTCTCTCTCTCTCTCTCTCTCTCTCGTATTGTCTTTTATCATTTTTTTCTCGCTCTTTGTCTTTCTTTCTTTCTCTCTCTTTGTCTTTTTCTCTCTCTCTTTCTATTTGTCTTTCTCTTTCAGTTTTTCTTTCTTTTTCTCTTTCTCTTTCTTTCTCTTTCTCTCACTATCTGTCTGTATATCTTTTCACCCGTTTGTTTGTCCATGCATGTATGTATGTATCTATCTATTTTACCTATCTATCTCTCTTTCTATTTATCTATCCATCTTATTGTCTGTCTTTGTCTGTCTGTCTGTCTGTCTGTATGTATGTATATATGTATGTACGAAAGTATGAATCTTTCCATTCACCCCTCTGTCCAACAGTCTATCTATCTACCAGTCTATTTATCTTTCTTTTTATATATAAATATCTTTTACATTTATTATGCATATCATCTTTCCACTTCTAGTCTATCTCTCTATCTTTATCAACCCATAATTCTCTCTTTCTCTAACCATCTTCCATTGATGGCGCTGTCGTTGTTGTTAAGTTGTTGTTATTGTTGTTGTCGTTGCTGTTATTGTTGTTATTATTGTTATTGTTGTTGTACTGCTGTCGTTGTTGATATTGCTATTGTTATTGTTTATGTTATGGCTGTCGTTATTACTCTTTATTGCTGTTGATGTTGACTTTCCTGTTCTTATTCCTGTCACAGCCATTGCTTCCAATATCTGTTGCAGTTACACATTGATTCAATTATTTTTTAAAAATCTTCTCACCCCATTCTCCACACAAAGTACAAACCACGACGCGCCACGACTCTGGATTCTTTCCTCTCTCTCTCTCTCTCTCTCTCTCTCTCGCTCTCTCTCTCTCTCTCTCTCTCTCTCTCTCTCTCTCTCTCTCTCATCGAGAGATAAGAGATAGCGGAGAGAGAGAGGAAGGGAGCGAGAAAAGAGCGAGAGCAGATAATAGAGCGAGAGAAGAGAAGAGAGAGAGAGAGATAGAGAGATACACTAGAAGAAGATTAGCACGAGAGAAGAGAGATATAGAGAGGGAGGTCGACATATCTCGCTAGAGATATCGACGAGAGAGAGATGCATATAGCAGAGGGAGAGAGATACAGAGAGAGAGAGATCGAGTAGACGAGAGAAGATAGATCAGAGAGAGAGGAGACGCACGAGAAAGATAAGAGAGAGAGAGAGATAGAGCGAGAAGAGAGATAGAGTGCAGTCCAGCGAAGAAGAGAGGATATCGAAGAGAGGGAGGGATAGAGACGAGAAGATAAGAGATATAGAGAGATAAGCGAGAGAGATAGCACTAGAGAGAGAGAAAAGAGAGAGAGTAAGAGATCTATGATAGATATATAGAGAGAGAGATTAGTAGAGATATATGTATTGAGAGAGAGATAATATCTCAGACTCGAGAGAGATGATGATATGATATATGCGTATAGATAAGAGCGAGAGAGATAGAAAATATAGAGATAGAGATATAGCATCTCTCTCTCTCTCTCTCTCTCTCTTTCTGATAGATGGATAGGTAGATAGAGGAGGGATAGATGGATAGGTGGATAGGAGAGGGATAAATGGATAGATGGATAGATGCAGAGATTAAGGCCGTGATTCGTAGGCTGATTGGCAAGTGATTGTTTCCTTCGTGTTAATCGTTGTTTGATTGTTTGGTGCAAATGAAGTGATTTTGATTTCTTGTCTTTTTTTTGTTAGTTGATTTGATATATTGTTTGTTTGTTTGTTTGTTTGTTTGCATGTGTGTTTGATTGTTTGTCTGTTTGTTTGTTTGTGTGTGCGTTTGTTTGGGTTTGTCTTTGTTTGTTTGTTTGTGTGTTTGTTTGTCTGTCTGTTTGTTTGTGTGTTTGTTTGTCTGTCTGTTTGTTTGTGTGTTTGTTTGTCTGTCTGTTTGTTTGTGTGTTTGTTTGTCTGTCTGTTTGTTTGTGTGTGCGTTTGTTTGTGTTTGTCTTTGTTTGCTAATTTGTGTGTTTGTTTGTCTGTCTGTTTGTTTGTTTGTTTGTCTGTCTGTTTGTTTGTGTGTCTGTCTGTTTGTTTGTGTGTTTGTTTGCTTGTTTGTGTAAAATGTATTTGGTATCAAAGAAATAATGAAATAAA